TATCCAAACTCAATTTTAGGCCTATATTTGGTTCACGTTAATGGAATGGCTATTTGGATTAAAGTCAATGGTGCAGCAGCCTTATTCCGGTGACACTAATTATTGGTTATTTATTTAAGAAGTAAATTATGCTCAATGATAATAATCCGATTGTTCTTCCCTTTTTCTTTGTACGGCATTTGTAATGTACTATTTAGATGATTCGTTGACTAAGACTAACATATATGTTGAGACTCGTGTCTACCTTTTTATTACTGTATTTCGAAAATAACGCCATGGCAACCAATTTAATCATAAGGCCCATGTTAAATTTCAAAAAGTTTAAATTCACGTAGGGAAAATCCCTGTGATCCGATTTTTAACATTTCAGATTTATACCTTTCGATGGTTTGTTTGAGCGAAGCTCTTATACGTCAACTCTTTGCATTTCGTAATACGCAAACTCCTGCTAGACGGCTGAAGCAATCGTTTTCAAATTTTGTATGGTGATAAAGACCATATCGGTGAGTGCCAACATCTATATGGCGTTAATAATATCTCTCAGAAATCTACCCACGGGGTCTCAAAGTTTCAATGTAATCCTTATAGGAACAATATTTGACATATAAACTAAGGCATAAGCTCAGCTGTTGACTTTTAAATTTATCAGATCAAGAAATAGCTGATTGCACCATTCCACAAATATTGGAACAGAAACGTTATGGATCATAAACATAATCAAATGATGACACTGGCTTGAATCTTATACTAATAGCCTTAACGTTTAGTTTGGACGTTTATTAACAGTTCTATTTTGAATAATAAAACGTTTGCTTTCGGTCCATCGTGTTTTAAATGTTCTATTTTAGTAGCTTTTAGTAGTGATGAATTATTGGTTTGTGAATTAGTACCTATATAAATCTTGTAGGGCTTTACAACAACAGAACCACGTATTTCAATGCGAACAAAGTTGACGTGTTTAGGCCTACATGGTAGTACATACAGCTTTTTAAATAATAGTATCTTAGTTGATATTGTGTTTTTATGCGATAGGCTTACTTGCGAAAAATTTAATTTTTAATATTAGTTTTCAAGAAAAATTATTAATTAGTTTGAATGAAAACCATACACGTTAACAAAGTTTACACATAATCCATTCACAGGTATCATTGAATAATTGTGGATTTTATGATGTGTTTAAAATGCCACTACGTAGCAAATAGTTCTATCTTATCAATATTAACAAGGACCACTATAGGAAGCACAACAATTTTAGCCAAAACTCGACGGCTTAACCTTAGTCTTCGATCACTTTCCGATTGATTATACAAATTATTAACGTGTAACACATTGGTTACGCTGGAATCAATGTGATGCAAATGTGAATGTTAATATAACTTCTGTAACTTTTATTTATGTTCACATACATTAATACCCCTGCCGCAGCAACCCACCGGCGAATTTCCATTGGCCTAAATTGAATTTTAATTTATCTATTTAAGTAACATTAGGTTTAACGAGTATCTGGGCTTGCTGCTACAAGGAACCCAATAAAGTGTGTTTTTAAGTAAAATAATTAACTTACAGCTTAGTATAAAATCAATAAATTTGCTAAGTTTGATAAAAATATTTCCATAAACAAAAAAAAAAAAAAAACAGCTACATTTTACAATATTCTCCATAAGAATAACGTGAAAATTTTAAATTTAAATTTTTTTTAGTTTTCTCCGTAACCAATAACCGTACAAAAACTCTTTCATATACTGAATCATTAGTTTTTAAGCTCTTTAAGAAGTTTAAGAGAGAAATTGAAAAAAATTGTATGTTTTAAGGGTCAAAAATGAGAAAACCCAATTTTTACTCCTAATAAAATTTTTACTAGTAATAAAACCACATTCCCATGGTCCAATCATGCTGGTTCGCGAACTCATTCAAGGTTTATCCCGTCTTACACCTTTAATCCAAATTTCATCAAAATCTGACAAAGATTACTTAAGTTATCGTGTTCAAGGACATATACAGGGTGATTCAAAAAGGACTTTACAACTTTTAAAATTCGTATAAATCTTATTAAACAAGGTACAAAGCTGGTTTTGGTGTTGTTTTAAAGAAAAAAAAAAGTTTTTTACCTTAAACTAAAGATGTTCTATGTGACTTCCGTTGGATTTGGGGGAAATAATTATTTAGGTATGAAAAAATAGTGAAAACCGTTACAAATTTGAGAAAAATTTACAATATTTTGAAAGTAGGGCGTTTTTTGACGGTGAAGGAGTGCTATTTTCGATAAATGCATAATTAGTGTCTTGTAGGAAATTTAATTCCGAACCTACGAGTTTTCCTCAAATATTTTATAGCTCTTACCGTTTTCAAGCTATAGCCGTTTGAAAAAAACGTGTTTTGTCGTTTTCAGAGGTACGCCATTTTGGATTTTTGGGGAGGTTAAAATTCGAAAATGCGACTTTTTGGAATTTTATGGGTGGTTTGGGACCAAGAACTACGTGTGTGAAATTTCAACTCCCTAGCATATCTAAAAGTGGGTGTATCGCACTCCTTCATCGTCAAAAAACGCCCTACTTTCAAAATGCTGTAAATTTCTCTCACTTTTTTAACGGTTTTCACTATTTTTTCGTGTCTTAATAATTATTCTCCCCAAATCCAACGGAAGTCACATAGAACATCTTTAGTTTAAGATAAAAAAAACTTTAAGTGTTTTCCTTTAAAACAACACCAAAACCAGCTCTGTACCTTGTTTAATAAGATTTATATGAATTTTCAAAGTTGTAAAGTCCTTTTTGAATCACCCTGAATTTATATATATGGTAGTTCGCTAAAATCAAAATAAATTTAAATTACAATTTATTTAAGTCAATCTATAAATTTTATATTGTAAAAAAACATGTTGAATTGTTTTACTGAGCAAATTCATCTAGTTGGCTAGTTTAGTAGTTATGAAGGTCTTAGATTTAAGAAAGTGATATATATATTTCGTGTTTTCACTTATATAATCACCATTACATGAAGTTGGGGGAGCGAGCTGGCGTAGTGGTTAGAGTGCGGGACTTCAGTCCCTGACGTCCCGGGTTCGATCCCCGCCAAGTCACCAATGAATTTTATCAAAGTGATAATGCCGCAACCCTTAGGTTTAGCCTGAAGTAATGAGAAAAACAATCCCAAGCTCGTGCCTAGTGTTTTTGGGGGGGAAAAAAACTATTGCATGAAGTCCTCTTATGCAGTTATCAGTAGCCAAAATGGTAGAATCCGAAACTGTAAAGGTTGATTTCTTGGCTATCACTAGCTGGAACTGTACCACCCTGTTTGGGAAAAAGTTGATGACCAAGCTAGAGGTTCATAACATAAAATGTAAATACAGGTGTTTGAGAAGGCCTAAAATGGCATCTATCTGTTTTTACTCCCCTTCATTACAAAACTATGTTTAGCCAATCCAATTACCCCGATATTTATCCCTACACAAATTTTGTCTACACTTAAAACCTTAGGTAAAAATAATTATGAAGCTCGATGGAGAAGGTCGACAAAAAATAGTTTGAACCTTGCTGACTCCGTACAATTTTGTGGATGTCTCTGCGAACACCACCTAGTTACTATAATTGTGCTAAATTTGGTGCAGATCGTTTTAGCCATTCAGGAGGGGTTTTTGAAAAAAAAGCAGAAGTGTAGTATACAGTAAGAGCTTCGCTCCCCTCATTAATACACAAATACAATGCATAATCATGGAATAATTAAAGTTGACAACAACGACAGCGCGATCTTCTTGTTGTAAATTAACAAAGAAAAAATGAAAATGCCTTAGGATTAAAATGACACATATCCATTATTGTGTTCATGTAATAAATAGTTTGTTAAGAACGGTACAATACCTCACTAACTCGACACCCGGTAACTTGACAGTCAACAGCTGACATGGCGCACGAGAAAATAAGCAATTTTCCCACATTTAGTTTTAATTTCAATTTGACGTTTAATATTCAACATTTTTTTTTACATTGTTTATTCAATATATAAAAATACTCATGTAAGTAGTAAACGTAGGCTATATGTAAAACTTAGTCTCTTATGTATTCATTTGTTCTGGATAACTCGACAACCTCCGTGTTCACACATAGTCGAGTTTGTAAGGTTTTACTGTAATAATTAGACCATAGGTTTTTATGGTTCAATGCTAAGCTTCTCTACTCTCCAGTCTTAGGGTTAAGATATTAACATTAGGATGAACAAGCACGAACATTTTAATTTTTCTATAGCACCAAAAGGTTTTTTTACTTTTATTGAAATTTGTATTTTTACTTGTAATTATCCTATAAAAATCCATTAAATAACCGAAACTTTAAATATAAAAAAAACTGATCAAACTATTTTTATAAGGCCTGCAAATAATTATGTTATGTTCCTCTTAACACTTAACAAAATGGTACAAAAACCATTGCTGCAAAACAGTACGGATCAGAAGTTATAGCAACTCTTGTAACTGTTCCCATAAAAATCATAGGTACTCCCACCGCTTGCCCATGATAAGAGTTGTTCTCAAGCTAATGGGAGAAGGCATGTGTCAGATTTATGATACAGTTTATTTCGTTGAAGATTGTGTCAATTCGTAGAGGTTCGTTACACAATATTAACGACTTTAAATACCAATACCACTATTAATGTCTTTAACTACTCTGAATTAATGATTAATTGTAGCATGGGCTATTATATAATTGTCACTCCAAATGTATCCTTAATTAATTGCAAAAATATATAACAAAATACTGCAAAAAGATTCAAGATGGACGTAGTTAATCCGTCAAATAGCATGTCAACTTTTTACCGCTTAAAATTCTTAATGTGAAAATTGTTTAGGTTAAAATAAACGTGATTTAGACGAACAGAGAATCGCGTAAAACATTTTCTTGATAAGCTGCTGCTAAAGAGAGGAGTTTGAAAGCTAACCTTTAGTGAGGAATTAATTTAGTAATGGAGAGTGTGCGTCTGCGCGGGTAGGGCGGCAGAGGCGCGTCGTGGTCGGGTGTCCAGTGTGCGTGAGTATGTCACTGCGAGTACATTGGTACACCAGTACACTACAACTGTACACACTAGTGCGGTGGCTCGCGAGGTGGCTCCTCCCAACTTGTAAATGTCACTAAGTGAGTATTTGTAAATATCATAAAAATAAAATTTAATGGTAGCATAACCCCTCAGATTCAAACTTAATTTCTGGTAAGTGATTATAAAGCGTAAGAAAATAAACCTATTTAATCTTGTGGGATTTTAAACTTTCGGTTGTATTTCCCTTAGTAAATATAAGGATTATCTAGACCAATTGTTAAATTTAAATTGTCAATTAAAACTTGGCATTTACACACATTTGAAAGGAAAATATCGTATAAAGACGATAATAATTAATATTTTACTGCTACACTTAATAAAAGAAAATTTATTTTACACATTTAGATAGCTTTGTGGTAGGAAAACAATATGTGATAATAAACTTAGTATTAATTAGAGTGCTAGGTAAAAAGATTAATATGTTAGCTAGTATAACATGAATAGCACTGTCTTAAGAGAAAAAAATCTAGCTCTATTAAGGATTAAACTGAAAAGGTAAATCGTACAATTCAAAATTCTAAGATTAATTACCGAACTGAAATGGAGTTGAATTATGGTGCGTGTTATTCTTCTACATGTATAAATATTCGTTATAGTTGACAAAATGAGCGACTATATCTAAATTTAAAGTTATATCTTTTATTAATATTTTTCCGAAGAAACAGTACACAGTTAGTTGTAAGTGACGTCGCTTCGTCTGTTTTGTGAACAAATAAATAATTTTAAAGCGCGAGTGATCTTTAAAGATTGAAAGTATTTTACATGTAGGAGTGACATTTTACCTAAAACAGAAACCCGGTTTTCTAGATCTAGTCCAAAATAACCTTTTGGTGAGGAATCTCACCTAGGTCATATATTAAAAATAAATAATACACATAAAGTGGTTTGTAAACTATTTATTCTCTTAATAGGCCTACGTAGGGGAGCGAGCAGGCGTAGGGGTTAGAGCACGGGACTTCAGTCCGTGAGGTCCCGGGTTCGATCCCCGCCAAGTCACCAATGGATTTTATCTAAGTGATAATGCCGCAACCCCTAGGTCTAGACTGAAGTAATGTGAAAAACAATCCCAGGCTCGTGCCTAGCGTCATAGGAAAAAAAAACTAGGCCCATAAAGCCAAGCTTGACGCTACACATATTTCATTTTTTACACATCTTTAATTTAAGAAATGTACAATAAGAGCACTTCTACTTTGCGTCTTTAAGTCAAAGCGTATATATTACTATTGACTATATTACTTACAATAGTAGGTCTGCATAAAGTGCTAAAAAGGGTTCTCCAAAGGGAATGTACTTTACGAATGACACATACAAGGACCAACGTACTTATTTGAATTGCACATTGTTTTAGTTCACCACCTATATTATTTCTTAGAATACTTTTCAAATATTCAGGCTGTAACCTTATTTCGGAGACTTCTTTGTCGTTTTATCAACTATTTGACTAGAAAAACCTAAAAAAAGAAGTGCAAGAACTTGTTTGTTCTACAAATCAAGGGCATTATTCTACCTTAAAGTGATTTATTCTCTAATTAAAAACAGTTTGACCTGTATAAGATATTTCCAAAATATTTGTTCAAACACACCTTTCTGTAAGTGTGGTTTTGAATTTCTTAATTTCTGTTGGGTACTAAAATAAAAAAAAATATGTTACGGAGATTTGTAGATGATTTTTAAAGAAATTGTTATTGATTATAAAAATACATGTTGATCATGTTTTATGATGTTTATAAATCCGATATTTCATGTACAGTATTACATACTGTTAAGTGGGTTTTAAGGAAATACTGAGTAAACTTGATTGCTTAAGAGGTAACTGATGTCTTGTTTGCCTTAGAACGTGGGGCGTAGGGGCCAATCCAAAGCATCATATCCCGGCAAAATATGTGTTGTCGAAAAATTTGTAAAATATAAATTAATTATTAGATATAGGTGTAATTAATCATTTTAAGTCTAAAGTTTACCCTAAAAATATAAACTAAAACAAGTATATTTAAGAATAAAGATTTCATTCACACCCTCAATAAAAACAGTGTACACTACTCTTTAAGAACATCCACTATTTCAACAAGTGATGATTTCACCTTTTTTATAACAGGTTGTAGTATGCCCAATATCTCGTGGAGGGTTATTCGGTGAAAAGACCAAAAAAAGCTACATACTACGTCTAGTGTAAAATAGCATACAGTCTAAATATACTAAACAATTTTGCCATCATGTTTGGCTTATGTGTGGTTAGAGAATATATATTGGTGCTGTACTATACTCGTACATGCAGTGCAAATCAAGTATTTTACTTTATAAAGTCCTCAACCCTGTCAAACGTACATTGCGTGTTATGGAGTATCAACCGTTTGATGTCAGTGTAATAGGGCTTTTAGCTTAAACTGTAGCTTTTATTGACGTTCTATGATTTTAAATTCAAGCAAATGCCATTCTATTGCGAATTAATTACTCATTCAATGTGAAATTTCATTCCCTTATGAAAGCATTTTGCATGGTTTTATTTTCTCGTATTTTAATAATTATTTATAATCAAAACTTTAATTAGCCTTAACTAATAGTTACAGCTAAACAGAAAAAAAAAACACCAAAATAACTTTTCGTACTTTTATTACTAACAAAAAATACTGGCAACCCCTAATCAAGAAAACAAATTAATGGGTATTGTTACGATTTAACCATTACAATTATGAATATTCCTATTCAGTTTAGTTATAGATTTATATATCGTTTTAAGGCTGCTTGGGCATTACCAGATTATGATTTTTTCACAAAGTGTCTGTGCGGAGCTGTAAACGTACCTGAAAATAATTAAGGCTAATATATATTTTTATTTCATAAATAAGACAAGAATTTTAAACAAGGCATACTTTTCTATAACAATTAAATAATGTTCTTTGACGTATAAAATATCCTTTCTTTTAATTAAATTAAAGTGGGATGAGATTATATAAGAAAAAAAATCATCTTAGATATCTTTTGTAACTTAATTTAAGTGTAAGGATTGCCCTAATTGGAAATACAGTTTATGGATAGTTCAAATTACAGTAATTCAACTGCGATTGAAATGAGTATCGTTTATTAAATTAAAATATGGCTATTAATTTGTGCAACCTTGTTAAATTATAAAGTTGTCCAATTAAATTATAATTGGACTGTAGCTGCTACTTCTAATATTTAATGTGAATTCTGTACTTAACTGTTACTCTTAACTTATGTTACTTAACACGAAATATACCCTAATTCACACACAACTCTAGAACCAAAATTGAGAATTAATTAATTACTACGAAAATCTAACTACCTCTTAGAACTATACAAGAATTAATTACCATATGTTGATTGCAGTAGTAAAGTTTTAACAAATAGACGATGGTCGTGCGCATACATATTCAATATTTAGAGATTAAAGGTACTCATCAGCATTATGCGATTGCCGTTATAAGCGATCATGGAAACTGAGAATCATAAACATCTTAAATAACAATAATATATGGCTAAAACATTTAACCTGTATAATGTGTGTTGGACATCATATTCTAATTCACACAGTCATTGCTATCTCTTTAAGGCCATGGCATACGGTTGGTTATGGCAGATTGGAACGAATGTATGTAGCGTGAAAAATTTAAATATAAAATGTATGGATATGTTTTGTGTAGCTATTAAGTCATATTAAAAGTTAAAATGTCTGTAACTGAATATGTATAGGTATATTCACTGCTATCTGTAACTAGACTACACAATATTCTAAGTTAACAACGTTCTCTTGTGTTTTGACCCTCCACAACCAACTGTAATACAGTGCTTGTAAATTAACAAAGGGCCCTTGATTAAAATGGTAGGGATGTTTACAACTATTGTATGATTTTACGGATGAATTTGATATATACCTACACAACATGCTACTGTTATCATTTAAAATGATAATTTGTAAGGATACACATCCGCATAAGTTGAATTAACAATAATTGTAGCTTAATTGGTTGTCCTAAAACTTGGCAGGTATCCTTTATTTGATAGTAATATTTTATAAACAATCAAGATTACTAACAACATCAAGTTTGGAAAACTACTGCAAAGTTTTAATGACATTATACTACTACCAGGTTGAGTTAGCTTTAGATCTGCGATACAACTGTCAGATCGTTACATAAATTACTCTAGCTAGGCCGTCTTATCATATATAACACAAGTGATACCACTACAGGTTGTCTTATAATTATACTGGTGATTCTATCCAGGTTGTCTCAGCATAAATAATGTAGAGGGTTATACTACCTGGGAGCCTCAAAGCAAAATATACAGGTTATACAAGTCCTGCCAGCATATTGTCTTAATATTAACTCAATATTAAACTAGTGATTAACTAGTGATATTAAACTAGTGAATCACTAGTGATATTAAACTAGTGAATCACTAGTTTAATATTGAGTTAATATTAAGACAATATGCTGGCAGGACTTGTATAACCTGTATATTTTGCTTTGAGGCTCCCAGGTAGTATAACCCTCTACATTATTTATGCTGAGACAACCTGGATAGAATCACCAGTATAATTATAAGACAACCTGTAGTGGTATCACTAGCTAGGTTGTCTTAACATGTGTAATACAGGTGATAATACTTCCAGGTTGTCTTATCATTATATCGGTGATTTTAGCTAGGTCTCGTCATAAATAATGGGGATACGATTATCAGGTGGGTTTAAAAATAAACTGTCGATACTATTGCTTGGTTGTCTGAACGCCAATTTTAAATTTATTTAAATTTAAATTTAAATTTATCATATTCAAATCCAGCTTTTAACTAATAATCCTACACTTTTTACATTGTATTCTTAAATTATTCTAGGATTAGACCTATATATAAGACTTTCATACCATAGCACCGGGCTTGCTCAAACGTTTAAACTTGGTCACTTTATCACGGGCCAATTAGTGACAAAGTCACTCATTAAAAAGCAAATTCTTTAAATATAAGACAAAAATAAACATAATGACAAAGAAAAAAGTTATGACTACTGATACAGAGTAAA